ATATCTTTCTGATTTTCCTCTTTGTTTTATTTTGATTGTGCAGGTATATTTTTTTTTCTTGAGGTTACCCTGGAATTTGGAGTCCTTGTGTGGCGCTGTGGGTTAATGTGCTGGACTACAAAGTCAGTTTGAACTGGAAGGTAGGCTGTTCAAACTCACCAGACCTTTCTCGGAAACCTTATACAGGGTTGTTATAAGTTGGAACCGACTGGACAGCACTTAACCACCACCACCCTGTAATTTATTAATTTTTTTCTCTGCTTATAGCAGTCTGTTTTATGTTGAAATTTACTTGACTGGCTTATAATTTGGAAGTTCTGCATTTACACTATTCCATCTTTTTGCTTTGTAGTTGACTTCATTATACACTGATATTTCTGGTTCCCTATTTTCAGTCTTGTAGGTTTGTTTTACTTTAAATACTTCTTTATCTGGATTGAGTAGTGGGTGGTGTTGTATGGTAACATCAGATTGTTGGTTGTTATGAACTTTCAGTCCAAAGAAAAATGTTTAGCATTTCTTGCAAATTGTTCTAGCCATTACAAATTTCTTTATGTTCATCAGAAAATGCCTTAATTTTGCCATCATATTTGAGGGACCTATTGCTATCCTAGGCATTAGTGACCTGAAATGGACTGGTATTGACCATTTTGGATTTGACAATCATATGGTATACTCTAATGGAAATGTCAGATTGAAGAAGAATGATGTCGCATTCATCATCAAAACGAACATTTCAAGATCTATCTTAAAAAGTACAATGCTGTCAGTGATAGGATAATACCCATATTCCTACAAGGAAGACCGGTTAATACCACTGTTAATAAAATTTATGCACCAACCAATAAAGCCCAAAATCTTATAATCTTATCATTATAAGATTGAAGAATTCTACCAGTTTATTCAGTCTTTAATTGATCAAACATGCAGCCAAGGTGTATTGATAATTACTGGCGATTGGAATGCAAAGGTTGGAAACAAACAAGAAGGATCAGTAGTTGGAAATATGGGCTGGGTGATAGAAATGATGCTGGAGATGGATCACTTTACAGAATTTTCAAGACCAGTGACTTCTTAATTACAAATACCTTTTAAAACAGCTTGTTGTTGTTGTTGTCAGGTGCCATCGAGTCGGAACCGACTCATAGCGACCCCATGCACAGCAGAACGAAACAATGTCCGATCCTGGGCCAACCTCACTACCGCTGCCACACTTGAGTCCATCAATGATGCCACCTGGCTGATCCATCTCGTTGGGGGTCTTCCTCTTTTTCTCTGACCCTCCACCCTACCCAGCATGACATCCTTCTCCAACAATTGTTTCCTTCGGACAATATGTCCAAAGTATGAGAGATGAAGCTTAGCCATCCTGGCCTCCAAGGAGCACTCTGGCTGCACTTCTTCCAAAACAGATTTATTGGTTCTTTTGGCACTTTCAGTATTCTCCTCCAACACCACAACTCAAAGGCATCAATTCTTCTACGATCTTCCTTAAAACAGCTTAAGAGACAATTATACACATGGACTTCACCAGATGGAACACAGAAATCAAATTGACTGCATCTTTGGGAAGAGATGGTGGAAAATCTTCATATCATAAGCTAAAACAAGGCAAGGGGCAGTCTGAAACAGACCATCAGTTGCTTGTATGTAAGTTAAGGCTGAAGATGAAACTTAAAACAAGTTCATGACATCTAAAATGTGGCCTTGAATGCTTATCTTCTTGTCTTTCATGATGTTAGTGAAGTTTTCTTCCAACAACTCTTCTGTAATTTTCTTTTTGAAGTAAGTTTTTCCTTTCATGGTGTCCCACATAATGCTTAAGCTTTCTTCAGATTTTTTTCATTCTTTTTTTCTGATTGTTCTTCTGGCATGCTAGTTTTGAGAGAGTTATCTTCAAGTTGAATAATAAGGGCTTCCATTGCTTTGCATCTACTTCTTTCCCCTTTCAATGTATTGTCCATTTCTGAGATCTTAGTATTAATCTTAAGGATTTTGAATTGCACATTTTGTTTTGTTTCAAAATTTGCATTTTACTTTGTTTGATTGTTCTGGTACTGTTTTCCTGAATTATTCTAAAGTTTTTATTGTGTTTTCCTCGCTCTTTCTATCTTCTGAAAGGTACCTAATTATCAGTCTTTTGAATTCTTTTTCATTTAATTCTATTGCCTTTTCTTCCTCAGAAATGTCTCCTGGCTCTGCATCTTGGTTATTTGTTTGAGCCATTCTCTTTTGTTTCTTTGTATTAGCTAAAATTGTTGGTTGTCTCTGGGGCATTTTGAGCTTGTATTTGTAAAAACAAAAGTGCAGTTGGTGAGCCTGGTGGGGAAATCTCTAGGTGGCTCCTGTAATTCATGGAGCTCACAAACTGGTTTGCGGTAGGGATACATCAGCAGAGTTACTGGTCCAGATGGGGTTCCTATTGTCATCGTTGTTATCTATGCTCAGGGCACTCAATCCTGAAGTAGTTAGTAGGGGCCCTTGATGGAGCTGGTTTCAGTGTCTGTTAGAACAGACCTCAGGGAAGCTTTGTAGGTTTTGTAGGTCTGGAGCTGAGCCCATCTGACAGATACCAAAGCAGCACAGCTGGCCAAAACCTCATGCTGGCATGGCTCCTAGTCATGTGGCTCTGAACTCTTGGAGAACAGAGTTTGCACTGTGGGTGGATGAGAGTGGGAGCTAGCCACACTTCTGGTTACCATGGGAGTGTCAGGAAAAAGAAGAAATCGCACCATTTCCACTGACTGAGAGAATCTGCTCTGCTGCCTCCCTCCGATGCCAGAACTGCTCACAAGATGGTCAAGCTGTGTCTGGTCAGCCATTTACCAGTCTCCCTTTCTCACCTTCCTTGCTAGGTGTCTCCTCGCAAGCAGCCCATCCACTTTTCTAAACTTCTTCTGAAGTTCAGGGTGCCAGAGTTTTCATCTGTGTCTGTTTTATTTTGTTTCTCATATCTTTGTTGTAGAGGGTTCATGTAGTGCATCTGCCTAGTCCGCCATCTTGCCAGAAATCACTCCATTACACTCCTGTTGTTAAGTACCATTGAGTGGATTCCCACTATTTTTGACCCTGTTTCTGAGGCTGTAAATAGGGTTTCGGAAGCGATAAATCTTTGCGAGTGCATAAGGCCTTATCTTTCTTCCTTGGAGTGACTGGTGGGCTTGATCTGTGAACATTGTGGTTAGCAATCTGGTGCTTATCCTACCGAGCCACCTTGCATCCAGTCCATTACTTCTTGTTGTTGGTAAGTGCCGTTGAGTTATGACTCATAGCGATCCTGGATAGGGTTTTTAAAGAATGGTTGGTTGGACTGCCAACCTCGTGTTTCAAACTGACTTTGGGGTTCAGTGCTTTATCCTACAGTGCCATGTGGACTCCAATAGAGCGCACTAAAATCTGTGCTTTGAAAAATATAATGATAATTCTATTCATCTGAAATACATAGGTTTTTTTTTTTTAAAAGCTTTTATTGTGAGGTTTACATGGGAGAACATCAGCTTTACACTCATCATATCATTGCAATGATTACAGTCCCCTCCATGCATCATCAAATAAGCAAAGGGCCACACAGGCCCGCCCCTCTGGCCGCCAGCACACAGCCTTTATCCCTCCCTGAGTCCAGTGCCCTCAGCTGTTCCATTTGTCCATGTCACCGTCTCTGTCTCCATCCCTGGCATCACTGCCTCTCTGGGTAGGATCCCGCTCTCCATTCTTCTTACTTGATGGTCCCAGGAATCTCCGCTCCTGGGCTGCAAAATCAACCACTCTCTTCTTTTTGTCCCCAAACACCTACCTCTATATTTCCTACCCTCACAGTCAGTCCTGATGTTAATCATTCACTATTGTACCACAAGAGTCTTATCCCCATTTCCTTTCGCCAGCCCGGTCCCAATCAATTGGAAATCATTCAGTGGTGATTCTACCTTCCCCTGCCTAGATCCTAGAACTAGGATCCCTCTTGAAAGCTTGTGAGCCAGTCACTTCTTACCTTTACAGCACACACACACACACACACACACACACACACACACACACATTTTGAGTAGCCAATGTCTAAGTTGCCCATCCCTGTCAACCCTGTGTACTGAGGGGGTGGGAGTGAGCCTCGCTGTAAAGATTTGTTCCCTTTTTGAGCTACTACATCCATAATTATAGGTAAAGTTCATCAAATTGTAAAAGATTAGTCTTTTTTTTTTCCCCCTTTTCTTTCTTCTTCTAGTCGAGTTTTGATATCCAGCGATCAAAGATAGGTCAGGTGGGTACTGTCTGCAAGTATGAGTGTCATTATGAATCTCCCCTCACTTCATATCAGCTGGACGCTTCACTTTCCACTCTAGTCCTCTGTGGCCATGTCACTGCCTCTGGGCCCATGAGCCCTTGGATCTTGCCATACTTCTGGCCATCTAGGTCTCCACCTGGGTTCACAGGGGTCTGTTGACTGTGGTCGGGCTTAGCTTGCAAATTCATTGCTATTTTTTCCCCCTCTTCCCCTTATTGGTGACCAACATGGTCACCAGCCAAACCACATTCCTACTCATGTGAAATACATAGTTTTGAGTCTCCTCTGTAGCACAACTATATATTGTCGTATCTGTGGAGTGCTGTCTGGTGTGGCACTGTAGGATAAGCACTGCCCTGCTAACCACAAAGTTGGTGGTTCAAACCCACCTGCCACTCCTGGAAACCCTTATACAGGGTTGCTATGAGTTAGAACCGACTCGATAGCACTTAAAACAACATGGTATCTATTACTAACAAAATACCTTCTCTATATTTTTCATGTATTAAGGTTTTTAAGAGTAGACACAGATTTGAGTTTAATCAGTCACTGTTATTAAGCCAGTTAACAGAATGTTCTGACTCATTGGTAGAGGAACATTTTAAGTTGAAAATCAGGGCCAGCCACTGATATGAAATGTACTTATTCACACAGAATAGGCTTGAAGTGTGGAATTTTTTTTTAGTCTTTACATGTCTTCTTTTCTGAATATAGGTACAGAATGAGCACATGTTGTTGGTGTACACCAGGTGGTGGTTCTACTTTAGACTTCCTAAAGCGCTATGCATCCGGGAACCATACCAGGGAATTTCAAACAGCTGATGAAGACCTCTGCTACTGCTTGGAGTGTGTGGCGGAGTACCACAAAGCACGAGAGGAATTGCCATTCTTACATGAGGTAATTTAGATGGACAATATTTGTAAGAACTTGATAATTAGACAGAAAATGAGTTAAAACTCTCTTAATAGCATTCAACAATGTGCTGTGAGTGATTTATACTCTGAAGGCCTCCCATAGGCTGGGGGCGGACGTAGTAGGTGCTGACCTAGTAAATTGCATATTGACAGAAATAACTGAATTAAAACCTAACAGAATTTTATGATTCATTAGTCATTTTAAACGTTTTTATTTTGAATTGAGGGATCATTTACATGGGAGAACATCAGCTTTACATTCATCACGTAGTATTTCATTTCATTGCAATGATTACAGTCCTCTCTAAGCATCATCATTCAACATGGAGCTTATTTTTTAATAGCTTATTTGAGACTATACACAGTTTTATTTTAATGTCTTTATGTACATTGTTTAATGTTTTGTTTTTAACTTTTTATTATTAATTGGGTGAGGTTTTATAGACAAGATAATCAGTTTATATTTAACAAATTATACATTTTGTTTCATGTGAATGACTGCACTCTCCTCTCTTTAACAGTACTTTACTTCCTTCCTCCCTATGGCTCTCCATTTACAGCTTATGTTTTACAAGTGAACAAAGTAAAAATATTTGATATACACATGGAAAACAATAAAGAATATTTTCATTTAAATGTCCAATGGGCACATGGCAGGTACACAGCCTTACTTAAAATCCATGGACCTAGAACCCGCAGCTGCTCAGTCTCTCTGTGCCACAGCCTCTGTCACTGGCTCTTCTGTTGCTTCTTTTCTAGGTAGAGATCTCACAGTCCACTTATCCTCTTCCTTCTTGATGGTCTTGGGGTCATCTGCTTCTGAAATGAAAAATTAACACTCTCCTCTTTTAGTTAAATAGCTTCTCTAATTACAATTGTGACAATTGCAATTAATCCTCCAAACAATAGTTCACAGTTGAATCATAAAATCTTATCACCATCATCCCCCATCCCCTTTCCCCAGATCTATCTGGAAAAGAGGAAAACTATTCAGTGGGGATTCTACCTTAGCCCCCTCGTTGTGAAACTAAAGCACATGCATGAAAGCTTGTAAGCCAGCCACTTCATGCTTTTATAAAACCCCCATCCCCATCTGGTAGCGTAGCAGTTACGAAATGGTTTGTGAACTACAACACAAGGTCAGCAGTTCGAAACTCCTAGTGATTCCACAGGAGAAAGATGAGGCTTTCTGCTCCCGTAAAGATTTATAGCCTCGGAAACCTGTCCAGGGTCACTATGAGTCAGGACTGACTCCATGGCACATAACAACGACAACAACAGTTTCTTAATTGCTCATCCCTATCAACCTGATGTGGCACTGTAGGAAAATCACTGGGCTGCAAGGTTGGCTTGAACTAAAATGTCGGTGATTCAAACTCACCAGCTTTTCCTCAGAAACACTATGCAGGGTTGCTGTGACTCGCAACCAACTCAATGGCACTTAACAACAACAACATTATCGCAGTACACTGAAGAAAGCAACCTGTTCTTTGATATGAAGAATCTTTTCATTTTGGTTGGAATTTTGAGCAACTGCATCCATAAGCAAAAGTCCAGTTCATCAAATTACAGCAAATTACGCTTGACTCTCCTCATCCTATCAGTCCTGGTACAATCAAGATAAGCTTTCCCAAGATGGCGGCTCCTGGAACAGCTGACTGTCCTGATCCAGAAAACAATGAATTTCTGGATTCTTCCGCAAACTCCCCAGTTATAAACCCTCGGAACTTGCAAACATACCTTTATATTTGTTACAGAGTTCCAACACCAACTCATGAGTCCTCTTGACCCGGTATTCCGTGTTGTTGTTGACCGAGCTACTCACTACATGTCCACCCGATCCACCATCTTCAAGGAAGGCCTGGTAGTGTAGTGGTTAAAAAACCTGGCTGTGAACCCCTCGGTGAGCAGCTCAAATCCTCCAGGCCCTCCACGTGAGAGAGATGAGGCTTTCCGCAACTTGCAGTTAAACAGCCTTGTGGCCCAGTATTCCGTGTTGTTGTTGTTGGAGCAACACACTACACGTCTCGCTGCTCGAAGTTCTCGCTGCGATATGCAGATGATACAACCTTGATCGCTGAAAGTGAAGAGGACTTGAAACATTTACTTATGAAGATTAAAGAGCACAGACTTCGATATGGATTACATCTCAATGTCAAGAAAACAAAAATCCTCACCACTGGACCAATAAACAACATTTTTATCAATGGAGAAAAGATTGAAGTTGTCAAGGACTTCATTCTTCTTGGATCAACTATCAACACTCGCGGAAGTAGCAGTCAAGAGATCAGACGACATATTGCATTGGGCAAATCTGCTGCACAGGAACTTTTTAAAGTATTGAAGAGCAGAGATGTCAGCTTGAGGACTAAGGTGCGCCTGACCCAGGCCATTGTGTTTTCAGTAGCCTCATATGGATGCGAAAGCTGGACAGTGAATAAGGAAGATCCTAGAAGAATTGATGCCTTTGAGTTGTGGTGTTGGAGGAGAATACTATAAGTGCCATGGACTGCCAAAAGAACCAATAGATCTGTTTTGGAAGAAGTGCAGCCAGAGTGCTCCTTGGAGGCCAGGATGGCTAAGCTTCGTCTCTCCTACTTTGAACATATTGTCCGGAGGAAACAATCGTTGGAGAAGGATGTCATGCTGGGTAGGGTGGAGGGTCAGAGAAAAAGAGGAAGACCCCCCACAAGATGATCAGCCAGGTGGCATCATTGATGGACTCAAGTGTGGCAGCGGTAGTGAGGTTGGCCCAGGATTGGACATGGTTTCGTTCTGCTGTGCATGGGGTCGCTATGAGTCGGTTCCGACTCGATGTCACCTGACAACAACAACAATACTTGACTCACAGTATTAAACGGAGTGCTCGTATGGTGCTGTGGGTTAATGTGCTGGACTGCAAGGTCGGTTTGAACCACTTCAAGCTCACCAGCTCCTCCTTGGAAGCTCTATACAGGGTCACTATGAGTTGAAATCAACTCAACGGTGCTTAACAACAACAACAACAACAGTATTAAACATCTGTATTCTTACCTGGTAGAATTTTGGTAAATTAGCTATCCAAGCTAGATCAGATGGGTACTAACTACAAGTTTGGGAGTTCATGCACATCTCCCTGAACTTCTGACCAGATGGCTGCTTCACTCTAAGCCATAGCCTCCAGGGGCTAGCTAGATCAGTTCTCATGAGCTCAGGAGTTCATATCTCTCCCTAAACTTCAGACCAGCCAGGCCATCCTCTTCTCTTATCTCTAGGTCAGCTGGTGTCAATGGAACAAAGCTAAACTCAGCCTGTATCTTTTTTTTTTTTAATTAAATGTTTTTATTTTGCATTG